GGAGTGGCGGGGGGGGTACTTCCTGGTCATGGAGCAGGAGGGGTTTTATTTTAAGCCAAGGAAACAAAGTCAGTTTGGTCAAGGTAGAAAAATGTGCTAGCTACAGAGCTCCCCATTTCCCACTCCTACCCCCTATATTCCTGGGCTATAACTGAGGGCCTTTTGACAGTAGTGGGAGGAGACAGTGGCAAACCCAGCCAGACAGCACAGCCCAAGATGGGAGGTAGGGAGTACCTGTGAAGGAGCAGCTAATTGCTTAATTGATGAATCATTAGGCTGCTCTGTTTTCCTTTTTAACCTCATAGGCTAGGAGTGCTAGTCTCCTTTACTCCTTCCCCGCCCTCTCTTCTCCTGCCTGCTCTGCCCCTTTTAGTTCCTGCTGGGGCATTGCAGTGGCTTCCCTTACCACCATCTGTGCCAGGCTTCACCCCACCTTGCATTAAACAATAACCAGTTATCAGTGAGGTTGTCTTTTAAATAATTAATCGTTTAACCTTTCACATCCCTAGCAGAGAGGTTCTCAGGTTGGTCCTGGGTCAGCTGCCCACCAGGTTGCTCATTTGGAGACTGCCTGTTCCAGTCTTTGCTCACTGTTGACATGTTGCCATCTGCTCTCAGTCACACAGGTGAGAAGCCTTTCCAGTGTATTGTGTGTGGTCGAGCCTTTGCCCAGAAATCTAACGTGAAGAAGCACATGCAAACCCATAAGGTGTGGCCTCCAGGACTTGGATGCACCATCTCCCGCAACTCTATCACAGTGCAGGTCATGGCACTGAATCCCAACCAGCAGGAGGATGAAGAGAATACAGGTTCGCTGTATGTGGGTGTGACTGTTAGATGGCAAAGTATTTCTCCCAGCAGCACCAAACACCCTTTATTTCCAGCTCCCTCCCAACCTCTTCCCCCTGTCCTTTTGGATTAAGAGGCAGGGGGTTAGCTTTCCTTGGAGTTAATGCTTGTGCTGCCACAACTTGGATATGAGTGTTTAGCAGCATCTAATATATTAGTGTACAGATTATGGTTGTGACCTAATTGTGATTCTGACTCTTTTGGCTGTTTTGCAATACTTAGGTCATGTAAAGTGGTGGCATCTGTCCTGACTGGCCCAATGAAAATGCTGTTAGCATTGAGGAGCTCTTGCTGGCATACAGTGGCATAACTGAGGCATATAATAATTACTCCCCAATTCTGTTATGGGGTGGAGTGGGGTACAACTCAGTTCTGCAAATCCTTAGTTGGCATATAGACATAGAAGGCTATAGCCACCCAATCCTCATCTGATAGATGGTCCCATAGGGAAACAGCTAGCATCTGTAAATTAGATTAGCTTGAATGTTGCTCTGTTATGCTGATGCTGGGGCAGTTAGTGAATCAGGTATGCACCAGCTGGCTAGCTAACACCATGCAACTTCTACACTAAGAATGCCTTAATGATACAAGTGAATCTGCCCTAGATTGTTGGTTCTTTGGAGTAGGTTTTTAATGAGACACCCAGTAGATCTCTGAGAGAACTGCAAGTAATAATGGGTACAAGAAGACTGCCTATATAATCAGGTCCCTTAATTTAATTCACTTAGCTGAAAGAATTGAGTTTGGAGGGGAGCAGGCAGTTGGGATCAGAAATCAAAACTGGGCACTTGTACAGCAATGCAGAGCCTGGCTTTAGTCCATTTTCAGAGTGGTTCTAAAACTACCTTCAAGAATGCTTCAGTTTGCCTTTTGTCTTTGACTTTCTCCCTCTGCCTTTGCCCTTCAGGTTTAAGCCAGGCATCCAGGAACCCTCCGCAGCATCCTCAGGCCATGGCCTCTGTAGAAGAGAGTGAGGCTGGCAAATTGGAGGCCAAACAGGTTGTTTTGATTGACAGCTCTTATCAGTGCCAGTTCTGTCCCGGTAAATTCAACACCTACTTCCAGCTCAAATCACATATGACACAGCACAAGAATGAGCAGGTGGGTATTGGTAGCAGGGCTGAGGGCATGAACACGCATCATATTTACTGAGTAAATTGACTTTAGTCCATAGCAAAAGTGAAATGGACAAATAAGGCAGAGTCTTACTTTGGTTTAAGTCACTCCATGCCAGAGTAAAGTGGCCCCTCACAAATTGAGGAACAGCATTTTCCCAGTATGTTACCTGGGTGTGCAGAATGTGTACCTGCTCCCCTAATCAGTTTTACCCTTGGTAGCCATAGACTCAGTAAACCAGGCTCCCTGCCACCTACTGGCCTGGCACTTCAATAGCACCTGCTGCTTGGTACACTTGGTCATATGTCTGCTCCTTACTGTTGAATATATTTAATATGGAGTAAAATCCAGGGCAGATTACCCTTAGTAATCATTGTGTGTATTCACACTGTGAGATGTCAGTTTGGTTCTGAATGGGTCTTGCTTAATTAGGGCTCAGTTAGCCACGAGATAAGACTAAAAAGTTCTGATTGTCCCCCCAGCATAAGGAGATGCCTTGCTGTATAAAGAACTCATGGCTCTTTGTATCTTTGTTATAAATAATAATTCATGGTGCTTGCATTTGTAAAGCTGCCTGCTGCACCTCTGCCCTCTGCTCATTGGCTTTCCCTGCTTTGGTCTGGAATGTGTCAGTGCATTTTCTAAGGCAGACTTGTGACTGACCAGTACTGCACCCTGGGTAGTCCTGCCTCCCCCTCCTTCCCTTGCACTTTCCTTGGAGAGCCTCCCTTTGGCTCTGGAGGCTCTGGCAGCAGGGAAGGGAGAAGCAGCAGTGGTAGCCCAGGAGCAACAGCTAGAGGTTTGCTGCCAAGGGTAGATGTCAGTTAATTTTTTGCTACAAACATACCTGTCTAGCACCCAAGGAAACAACAGTTTTAGAGAGTAAAAAAATGAGGTAACATCTCCCCCAAGCAAAAACTACATTTCCCAGAAATGTTATTGATACATTTTCCTGCACACATCCACTTTTGTGCCTTCCCCCTGCCAGAGTTGGAGCCAGGAGGGGTGGGAGGTGGGAGGGTGAGGTGCCCCTGCTTCCTTCTGGCATCCCATCCCAGGGCTCCTGGCTTGCTTGCCTGCCCATCTTTACACTACTGCTCTGAAGTATTGTCCAAGGCAACATCTAGGAGAGCCCCAACCACTCCACTCTAACCCTTTTTTTCTGTGGTCCATCATGTTCACTTATGATGTCTTTGGAGCAAAGACTAGGACTTTCTGTGTCTGTACAGAAATGAGCATATTGGGTCCGTGGTCCTGAGCAGGTACATGGAGATGTTGCTTTGCTTGTAGGTCCACTCTAGTCTCAGGCACTGTATTGAAAGTCTGCCCACTTACAGAGTCTGGCTGCCAGATGTGACAGCTAATGAGATGAGTCTTCCTTAGCATTGTATGGAAGTGGCAGTGTTTTCTGGGGAGGGGGCATCACCCCATTTTGGCTGACTATGCTAGGAGGTGGCCTGTTCTCAGGGTTCTCTGCAGCTGGTGTATCAGTCATGAAAGTTATCCTGAATGAAGAGTGAAAATAACTTTCACTTTACCACTTGCAAGGGGATGCTGTTGACTTCATTGGACCTAGAATCATTCATTGGTAATGCTGTTACACTGTGATTGTGACACTGAAATAATTGCAGTATTATGTAAAATATTCCCCTGCCACCTATAAGAAACAGTGAAAAAAAGAACCATGCATTTTTAACACTTTTGTGCTCCTACTGCTGGTTAAGGAGCAGGGCTGAGCTAACACATGTTGCTTTTGGAGTGCTCTTGTCATCATTGACTCTGTGTTAACAGGGCCTGGGCAAGACCCTGATTTAATTGAAATTGCTGCTTTTGTCATAAATGCACAGGCTAATTTAGCTTAATCCAACATGGAGGGAAATCCATAGGTCCCCAATGACAGAGGTCAACATTAGTGGTGATTATTTGAAAAAAAGTATGTAGGTGGGGGAGATTTTCCAAGATGCAAAGAGGCATAAAACTCCTAAATCCCAATGGAAACTCGTGCAAGTTAGGTGTCTTCCAGCTGTTTGTGCCCTTGAAATTTCCTTTATTTGTAATTCATGGGTGATTTAAAGCCACCTGGCTTCATTCCAAAGTTGGTAAATGTCATTCTGCAGATGGAGAAAACTGAAGTGCAAAGGTTACAGGTGGGATTTATTAAAAAGCCCAGGTGGCTTAGGAGCACAAGTGCCAGAGGTTTCAATGAAACCCATACTCCTAAAGTACTTATGCTTTTGAAGACTTGCTGAAGTTGGCAGTGCCAGAGCCAGCACTGCTATCCAGGAATCCTGATTCCTTGTCTTCTGCCCTTCAAACCATTGCATCAATTGGCAGAGGATTCACACTATTTTTCTCTCTAATTGTTATTGCTCTAACAGTTTTTCTTTCTTCCCCTGTCCCCCTTCCTCTTCCTCCAGGTGTACAAATGCGTGGTGAAAAGCTGCGCTCAGACATTCCAGAAGCTGGAGTCCTTTCTAGAGCACATCAAGAGCCACCAGGAGGAGCTAAGTTATCGCTGCCATTTGTGCAGCAAGGACTTCCCCTCCCTGTATGAACTGGGTGTCCACCAGTACTCCCACAGCCTGCTGCCCCAGCACAGCCCCAAGAAGGACATGGCCGTATACAAGTACAGTAACAATCAAACCAGAAATTACCAGGCTTGGCATTGCAGGCTGAATGTGTTTTCTGTGAGACCATGACCTTACAATGCAGTAGAGCAAGCCTGTCCAACTTCACAGTGGCTAGGCTGCATACCATGGAGCCTGCATGCTGCTGTGGCTACATGCTATATGGGATCCCAGGATCCTTGCCATATGCAGCCATGTGAACAGTACAAGCCCCCGCCCCTTCCCCATCCCATCCCCATTCCCATCCCCATCAATATGAGCTTTCTTCCACTGCTGCTGCTGAGCGGGCAAGTTTCCCCCCTTGTTGCTACTGCATGAGCAGTGTGATCTTTCCCTGCTGGCACTGCTGCATGCCCAAACTTCCTGCACTGTTGGCTGGATAGAGTGCTGGGCCACCTCCATGCTGCTTGCTTCAAAGACTGGCCACCATGGCAGAAGCAGAAGCCTACATGCCACACATTAACCCCTTATAGACTGGATAGTAAAGGAAGCAATTGGGCCTGTGATTGCCTGCTGACATAATTTTGGGTACACACATTATGTAGCTGAGTGTTTTTTCACCTGGCTGTTACAGGCAAACATTTCAGGAGCAAAATACGAGCCTTAGGTCTGGGTGTTGCAGGTGAAAATGTGACCTCTTGGGGTTCTCTCTGTTCACTTATGGAGAATGTGCTGGATAACTGCATGAATAAAGTGCTTCAAATAGGCACACAATTGGAAGTTATTTAGGTACCAGGTATGGGAGCTATGTCCATGGTTATTCCCCAGTAATCTCATTTTCTCTCCTTGCAAACTACAATTGGCTTGATCAACTTGGAAAAACCCATATGTGGCTGGAGGGGAAGTGCAACTTCTGTGGCTTACTCTATGTTTTGTAAAGTTCTGCGAAAGAGCACTTATAGTGCTGCAGAAATGCTTGTAGAAATATTTACGTAGACTGAGGAGTACAGTGGATCTACTGGAATGCACTTGGAGCCGTTTGTAGATTATGCAGGGTTATAACAAGCAACTGCCGTTTCTTAGATACCCATGTCATTTCTCGTAATGCTTGCTGAGGAGTTGGGGTTCATCTTGCAGTACTGGAGATGATAAATTGTCTGGGAGGGCTCAGCTCTGTCTGGTATATATGATTTTTCCTTCTTGGTTCACTAGAATGGGGAAAAAGGTTTTTAAGTAAATAAATCTTCACTAAAGGCTTGTCTGAATGTGGAGATGGTCTGAAAGAGCTATCATGGAATAGTTCTTCCATACTAGCTCCCTGTATGGGCACTCAGAGTACCAAATAAGTGTGCCCACACAAGGAGTTTTCAGTAGATACCGCACTTTGGAGGTACATCTTAACAGATTTGGTTGTTGCTTTGGGACCAGCTTAAGTGTGAGTGGAAATCAGAACTTGTGAATTAATGGAGGTGGGAACACAGGTGGGGAAGGAAGTACTTCTTGAGTCCAGATATTCTGCATGTTGTTACTGTTTTTAACAAAACATCCTGAATTATAATAAAAACTGAAGGTAAATGCCAAATAACTGTCTAGGGCAGGGGTTGGCAACCTATGGCCTGTGGGCCTGATCTGGCCTACAAAAGTTTGATCTGGCCCGTGGTAGTGATCAACAGCTGGGGTGGACCAGCAACATGCAGGAGCATTCTGTAACAGGTGGAATTGGTAGCATGTGGAAGTGGGGCACTAAAATGGAGGCCTCCCAGAGAGAATGCCCTGCAAAACTGCAGCTGCTACTTTTCTCATCAATTAATCCAATGTTGTCCATTGCCACTGGCACCCATGTCACTTGGTGATGGTAGTGAGCAGTGGCAGCAATTGCAGTAGGGGGACATGAGAGTTCCCACCAGATTTGGAAAACGCTGGCCCAGGGTGACATTTGGTGGCATGCAGAAGCAGGAGGATGGCAAGGGAAGTGGCCAGTTGCAAGCAGAGTCCCACCTTGGAGCTAAGCCACATTGCTTCAGCCTTCCCTTTTTAAAGGTTGCCAACCCCTGGTCTACGGTGTGGTATGCCCATCCTGACCAGTCCTTACTTGCATGCTCTCTCCTTTCTGATTCAGATGTGTCAAGTGTGTAAATAAATACTCCACCCCAGAAGCCCTGGAGCACCATCTGCAGACAGCAACGCACAACTTTCCCTGTCCTCACTGCCAGAAGGTGGGTGGGTGCCATTGGCCTGAGATGACCATACAGATGTTTGAGTTTCTGAGGGAAGTGAGAGAATCTCCAATGCCCTTTCCACTCCCATCCTACCTCAGTATGGACTGGCCAGTCCTCTAGGAAATTTTGAGAGAGAGGAGAACATGCCTTGGGCCTCTGGCTCCGTGGTTTCTGTCTAGCAGCGTATGTTCCTTCTCACAGTGCAGGCTTTTCTGCTGTGGCCCAATTGATGATCATTGGTCAAATGCAGAAAGTCCATAAGAACTTTTCTGCCTTCTCCTCAACCCCACATTGTACTGAATTCCAGTGCTGCAAAAGGCACTGGAAAGTGCTCAGCGTTTTACAAAATCAAGCTCTTTTATTGTATTGCAGCATTAAGCATCAAAATCAAGCTATTTATTGTATTGCAGCATTAAGCATCAGCCTTGTTCTTTTTCCCTCCCAAAATCACTGAAGCCAAAATAAGTAAGGCCAGTTTCAGGCAACTTATGTTATTTCCCATCCCCTTGGCTTCTCCCTTACTGTGACTTTTAGGTTGTTCCTTTGTTGAGCTATTATGTGGATGCTACCTACAAAGTTGATGGGTTGTGGTTGACAAGGCTGGGGTTCCCTCAGGAGCCCCTGCATTGCTTTCCCATCTGTTTTGCCCAGGTAAACTTTTTGTGTCTCCTTTCCCTGTTGCTGTATTTTGGATGAATGTCACATGTCCACGGAAAGGGCAGATCTGTCCTACCAGTATGTCTGGCACTGGACTGCTCCTCTGGGTAGCCTATGTCTGGGGACAGTCTGATCTGTGCCCCAGGGGGCTAAGAGGCAGAACTGTTGGGTTTTAATTCTATTCCTTTTTTTTTTTTTTTTTTTTTTTTTTTTGCAAATCCAGACTAAAATTTGGACACTTCCTTATAGCAAAGGAAGTGAAAATCCTGCAGTGGGGGCAGGAACAATGTCAGAGGAGTGACCACTTTGTACTGAGGTAGCTCGGGAAGGGGAAACACATCTGCCATGGTTAGTAATCCATCTTTTTTTTTATGTGTTGTCTCCCTCCACCCCAACCCCCAAGAGGCAGCTGTTATCTTTGTAAGGATTTTGGACATTTCAGAATTAGCTTTAGAACTGCTGTTCTGCATGTCTTCACATAGGGCTCTCAGTGTGCTTTCCCCCATTGATTTTGTGGGACAGTGATGGCAGCATTGGACTTTCAGTGCTAGAAGGTTATTTAGGTGGGCTGGTCAACTACTATCCCCTACAGGAGTTATTAAGCTGCTTCTTTCTGGAAGGAGTATAGTGCAGTGGTTAGAGCTGAGCACTAGGAATCAGGACTCCTGGATTCCGTGGTCAATGTTACTTTCTGCAAATCATTTCATTTCTCTAGTTTTCTGTAGTGTTCTCTAGTTTTCTCATTTGTAAAATAAACAGTCGATGATGTTGGTAATGCCAAATCCTTTGATGTATAAATACTCTGGAAACCTGTGATGGAAGATGATTGGGAAGTGTGCAGTATTATGGAGACTGCAGCTGGTCACATTTCTAGCTTCTGGAAGTGGGTGGACTAGGTTTTTCTAGGGAGAGGTTGCTTCTCAAATTCCATTTTGTTACATGGCATTTTTGCAAGGATCAAACCTGTGCTGCTTTAGGATCTGAAGCTGGCTTTAAACTGCATATGCATTTTCTTCATAGAGAACTCTGCAGGCCTCCATGACACTTCCCTTTTGAGTAGACAGGATTGGTTTGGTTTTCATGGTAGTAAAATCTCCACCCTCGTACATGCATGCTTGCTGACAGGGACAGTTGCAGTCTTTGGTGGGGAGCAGGTGCTTAGTTTTTTCCTTTTCTTTGTTCCTAGGTGTTCCCTTGCGAGCGGTACCTACGACGGCATCTCCCCACGCATGGAGGGGGTGGCAAATTCAAGTGCCAGATCTGTAAGAAATTTTTCCGCCGGGAGCACTACCTCAAGCTACACGCCCACATTCACTCGGGTATGTGCTTCCTCACATCTCCTCTACCTTGCCAGGCCTCGCCCCACTGGGGCTCCTTCAAGGGGCAGAGATGTCTGAGGTGTGAGTTATATTTAGTGAGGATCAACATTCACTACCCCAACCTGTTTCCTGTAGCAACTCTGTCTTAGTCTAACCCAGATAGGTACCATATTATGTGACCTTTGGTTCTGTTTGCTTTTTAAAGTAATAAAGAACTCATTATCAGGCTGATGATCTCATGCTATCACTGGCTGGGCAATTAAATTACAGTACCGTGCCAGCCTGTCACATCCAAGGCTCGTAGAAGTGAAGGAGGTGAAAGAGTACTCAGTGGAAATTGTATCTGTCTGCCTTTTGGCAAGAGGGAGTGTTGCTGACAAATGGGACATTGGAGGGTTGAAGCAAAGTAACAGCATAGAAGCAGGAAGGGCAAGTCCTGTTAGTAGTTGTGATTTGGATCTTTATGTCCTACTTGAGAATAGGAGCACCCCCAAACGTGTTCCACTGATTGAGTTTGAGTGTCTCTTTAGGGAACACTAGTACTTGAAGATGTGTTGAAGATGAAATGTGTTGAAGATGAAATGTGGGAAGCTGTAGATAATTTCCGTTATCTCTGTTTTGATTGGGTTGGAAGTTGTGAGGCTTCTCTCTTTCCTCTTGCTCCCTGACACAGCATGGAGAACCAGCAATACAGGCAGGTTGGAGAAATTGCATTGTCTTCAGATGTGCCCTTTTAGAAAGAATTTGGGGTTCTTCCACAATCTCCCTTACCTCCTTTCCCTAACCTGAGTTTTATGGCCCTATCACCTTCCTCACAACAATCTTCCAGGATCTCATTGTATCCACACCTGAGTATAGGCTATAGACAGTGTCTTGCAAGCCCCCATACTTGAGGCTAGGCATACCTATATATACAATGGATCAAGAAATTAATTGTGGTACACGATTATCAGGGCAACACCCTACTATTAGATACTGGGCCAGATTGGGCTAAACGAAAAGTCTTTCCACAACATGGCCATGGCTGCTTCCATAACATGGGAAATCAAGGAAGGAGTAAAGCAGATACTGAGGCTTCTGTCCAAGTGGAGGAATTAAAAAATTATTAGAACAGTGGTAAGCCCTTGGTTCCAGTGCAGCTTGTATCTTCCTAACTGTCTTTGTTTCCTATACAGGTGAAAAGCCCTTCAAGTGCTCAGTATGTGAAGCAGCTTTCAATCGGAAAGATAAACTGAAACGACACATGCTTATCCATGAGCCTTTCAAGAAGTATAAATGTCCCTTCTCGTATGTATCAAATGGTCTCCAGCAGTCAGGGGCAGAGCTGGTTTCATTTGTTACTGAAAGTGTATGAAGTTTGGGGAAGGCAGGCCTCCCTGGGGCTATGCTTTGGGAAGGTTGCCATGGGATTCTCAGAGCACCTCAAATCATGGGGCCCCGGAGTGGGAATTGGGCACTAGGAATTCCTAAGTTCTAGTCCCAGTTCCATCTCCCCACAAAGTGGGTTTGGAAAAGTCACTGTCTCTGACCGTAATTTATTCCGGTGTTAACTGTGGCTGATAATTCTTACCTCCTCATGGCATTTCTTTGGTTCATACCTGTTTGGCATTTTTGAAAGTGAACAGTTCTAAGTATTATCATCACTGGGTTGCCTGAATGTTTGTACACCCCATCTGCTCTTTGCCAAAAAGCAGTATTGTGTTACACATGAGGCACTTGTGAAAGTTCCTTAGTAGAGCTTCAGAATGTCTCTAAGTATTAAACTAACACAGCATCTCCAAGTCAGGGACGTGCTATGTTGGCAGACAGGGTGGGAAAGCTGTCTCATGGTCCCATGACCCCTGTATGAAAAGAGGGCTTGAGTGATGATGTACATGCATTCTGACTCCTGTCACCAGTGCTATATTCATTTAATGCTTGTCCTGTTTACATCTTTAAATAATGTAATTGTTGCATGGAAAAAAGAACATGAAGCTTTGTAATAATTGTTCATGGTAGGACAGTTCTCCCTGGGGTAGAAGCGGCTGGCTCTAAAAATATGGAACGGACATCTCTTACTGCTTGGGCTGGAAGAATCCTCTCCCATGAAAAGTAACTGAAAAGATGTTAGCTATCATGACAGGAGTTTATGAACTCAGAAACATTCTGTCTCTTAGTTCATATGGAGCAAGATGGGAGTAGGGCCTTGGCAAGGCAGTAGGGCCTTGGCAATGTACCAGAGTGCTAGACCCAGGGTTCTCTGATATTCCAGCACCTGTGGGTAAACTCTGCAGACAAGAAAATGCCTCTAACTCAGTTGTGGGTTTGCCTGAATAGTCTAGAATGACTTTTCTTCTGTCCTGGTCAGCTTTCAACTACCTTTGATAATATCATGCCTCCAGCAAGGAGGACAAGCCTGCAGTGTAGAACTTGGAATATACTAATGATGTACTCTGGAGGAAAAGGGGAATGTGTGACTTTCCAATGGAAACCAAACATATACACCTTGCAGCACAGGTATAGGCAGGAGCCCTGCAATTTTGGATTCCCTGTCATAATACCCAGTGATTACTCTTAGAGAGCACCTCTGTGCTGCTGAGGAGAGTAACTTGTATCTGAGAGCTAACATATGTGCTTTTTTCTGTCATCACCACTCCCCATTCGATTCATGCTGACTACTGGCATTTTTGTTGTTACAGAAGTCACACGGGATGTAATAAAGAGTTCAACAGGCCAGACAAGCTGAAAGCTCATATACTCTCCCATTCAGGTAAGTGGGACTGTAGCATTCCCCTTGGTTGCCAGAAGCTGTGAATGAATATACTGCTGGAATCCATTTGAAGTGCTTAGAGTATTACAGAGAAGTATAATGATTAATTTCCCAGTTTAATTTTGCTTATCAAAGTGGTGAAAAGGGTTAGACCTAGTGAGTGGATTACTGTCCCTCTTTTTAGAAGTGATTTAATATTAATCCTTCCCCTTTCAGCACTGTTGCTAGATGACACTTCTCTACACTGTATTTAGTGTGTGGAATCAGTGTCATAAAATAATCCATAGAGGAAGAAGACAAATTCAGATTTTCAGAGCAAATTGCTCTGAAATCGCATCTTGTTAGGTTCCTAGACAATGCAAGGTCAGTGCTTCCCTATAATGTGCTCTTTCAGGCTTTATCCCACTATCATTTGAGTGACAGAGTTTCTTCTGTTTCCCTGAAAACTTTTCCCACAACCTAAGACCAGGAGTTTCCCACATAGTAAACCTAAATGTCTGAATGTCACTCACTTGCTCTCCAAAAATCCCCAGCTCGAAATTTCTGTCTCCCTTGCTGCAGGCCGATCTGAGTGAGCCCTCCTTCAGCTTGCTGCTGTGTCCGAAGTTCAGGCACATTTCTGAGGTGATATAAATGATAAGCAGTGTGGCAAGGCTGGGGTATAAGGACTCTGAAGCAGTGCCAGGATATTTTGTGTGCTCTCTGGCATGTTAATATACAGAATGTTCTATCCACTCCAAACCCAATAAGGCCTCCCTTTCAAAAGCATATCTTTTGGTATTTGGCTCAGTTTCTCTTGGAATTCCATATCTAGCTCACCACAACTAGAAACCATCTTTTTCTGTGCGTTGCACTTTTTGTGCAACAAATGGCAAAACTAGAGTGCTCTCCTTCCCCTGGGTCCAACTCAGTGGCATGAGGCTTGGGGAATTTGGGGGAGGAATGGCAGTATTAATTGTCACTGCTCCCCTGCCACCAAATTTCCTGACCCACAGGGAGCTGTGCGAGCTAGATGCCATGGCTCTGTGGCCAGATTTGACCCATGGGCTGGGGATTGAGCACTCTTGTGCTAAGCTATAGACAAAACCCAATGGTGCATAAAAGAACAGACTCAGCTAGGGAGCCCTGCTGTAGTGTGATTAGTGAGACTTCACCGCTTAAGAAGGCCTTTTAACTAAGCTCTTGCCCTATTATGCCTTGCTTAGGGATGAAGATTCACAAGTGCCAGTACTGTAACAAGTCCTTCAGCCGGCGGGCTCACATGGTGGAACATCAGTGCTCACACACTGGCAACTACAAGTACCGCTGCCCCACCTGCAGCAAGGGTTTCACACGCCAGAAGTACATGAAGGACCACAAGTGCCGTCTGAGCTCGCCCAAGGACAAAGAGCTGCAGCTCAGGAAGCCCCAAAAGAAGCGGGCAGCTCGTGGGCGGAAGATGGGCCTTCCTTTTCCCAACCAGCTAGCCCTGGCAGAGCTGAAGGACAATGGACAGGCAGAGAGCCCCCAGGAGGGTGGCCCCAACAAAGATCAGTTTCAGGAGTCAGATGCAGTCCTGTCCATTGTGGTTGGTGGGTCAGCAGCTGCAGATTCAGACCTGGTTGTCCCTGGGCAGCCCAGCAGTATCACATCCAATCTTGCCCTGGCAGAGCTGCAGACTGGCATGGAGGGTCCGTGCACCATGCTGGCTGTCCCTGTTTACATTCAGACTACTGAGTGATAACACTGTGCCCTCTGTGTGCTTAGTGTGGAATTAGGTGAGGTTCCTGCTTTCTTCACTCAGGAAATCCTGCTGGAGAAGACAGATGCATGGGGCTGAAGTTTCCATGTCAGTGATATGGGAACCAGAACTCTTAGGGATGGGAGTGGGTAGCAGAGTGAATGGCCTTCATCACCACCTACTCTTCCCTTATGCAGGCAAATAATTCCTTGGGTGGCATCAATAGCTACCAGGCACATAGGAGAATAGGTACATTTTCTTGGCTATGTTCAGCACTTGTCGGTGCAGGGTAAGAATAACCAGGAATCTTGAAAGGCGGTGGGAAGAACAACAGAGGCCATTGCAATGAACTCTAAATGCTTCCATGGGCAGAGGACTTTGCAAATCATAGGCTGTCCTTTTCATGGTTTTATTTTAAAAGCTGTATTGCCCAGTACTAAGGTGTCCTTTTCAGGTGCAAACAAATGATCCTTCCTACTGGAATCAAGTTCATACCTTTGGGACCACTGGTCAGAAACATTCAGAGTAGATTCCTCTCATCTATCTATATCAGCAGAAATCCCACATTGTCTGTACCATGTATAAACAAATGGGGCCTGATGCGTATTGCTCCCCCTGATGTCAGGGAGTGAGGAGCCAGCTGTGCATTGTGTCCTGGGTTTTGTGTCTGAACTGCATGTATGTGTATGTTCTTGTCTTCTGTTTGAAGTTCTTCCATGGCAAGTTTTTATCCAAGGACCTCAAAGTGCCTTTGACACAAATGAATTCCTCTTCACAGCAGCTAAATATCCCCACCGAGCAGCTGGGGAAGCAGGCACCCAAATGGCATGTGAACTGTCACAGGAAGTCTGCAATAGAGCCAGGAGCTGAATCCACATTTCCTAGCATTGAATCCACTAGTCTAAGCACAGCACTATACACCTTAATACTTTCCATGCATAATAGCTGTAATAATAGGTTGACCAAAATCCTAAATCAGCTCCAAGCCATTGGCCACTGGTTGGAAGTTCAGTCTGTCACTAACAAACTGTCTACCAATGTATACATTAGGTAAGAGAGTCCTCTTAGGGGCTGATGTCTCTACCTTCAATCCAGCCTGAGTTCTTTGGCTGCCCAAGCAGCGGATCTCCTGATCTATTGCTAGAGGAGTGATCCTAATTTGGCAAAGGTATTGTTCTTTATGCCTTATCCCTTCCACAATACAAGTTGACATGGATGATCCTAGAAATCTTGCTGTTCATGCTATGCCCTATAAGTGAGGATGAAATGTTGGAAGATCCCCTGATCTAGTTGACTGTGACCCTGTTTGTATCCAGCACCCATCATAATGAAGATACCTAAGCAAGAAACTCCCAGTCCTGAGTAATCTAAACTGGGATTAGAAAAATTAGAAGAATGTGGTGTAGGAGATAATCTTGCCTTGGCCCTTGGGCCTGGGCAAGGTGGGAGGCAAGAGGTTTTTTCCAGTTCTCTGATACAAATTTCCCTTCCTTGTGATCAGGATCCTGCCTGTGGCAGGTAATAAAACATTGTTGTTTGCTATATTTTTTATTGTTTCCTTGGAACTGATTTGATGCAGCATTAATGGGGGCAGAATGGCTGCAGCAGAAGGTTACAAACCTCTCTAGTCAGTGCTCTGTGTACCCAGGTTAGACACCATATGCTCAGTTGCCTGCTCCATTTCCTTGCAGTAGTAGAACCTTTTCCTCAGAGGGCAAGAGAGTTTCTCCCCCTTCCTTATAATTTCTATGATTTGCATTGGTAAGCATGAAAAGGACTTCCCCTTCTATCCTCCCCGTCTTAGAGACGTTTAGTGCAGGTAGATGTCAAAATATGAATTAATGTACATTAAGCATCATTTAATGCTGGGGAGAGGGACCATTATTGAATTCCCTGGAACAGAGTCAGGCAGCATGCAGCCTACTAACCAGTGGAGCTGCTTCTGAAGGCAGGTTCAATCTCCCACTCAAACTTCAGCCTCCCTGCTCATTCTGACAATGTGGTTATTTGCCACAGGCAGGGCCCAATCCTTAGGAAGGGACATTTGAATTGCAACAGCAAAAACCCCTCACCCGCCATCTCATCCATCTTCACCACATTCCTCTCTGCCTTTGCAAATCCTGAGTCAGATTATTCAGAGGCTGGAGCTTCCTTGGATATCTCCTCTGTGGTGGTGTTTGAATACAGAGCCAAGTTTCACTGAACTGGCAGAATATTTTCAAACAAGTCTTGGCTTAATTTGTGCTGCAGTGTGCTGAAGGACAGGGAATGTTGCATTTCCAATCATTCCTGACTTACTTTGGTCACAATGAGCCTGAAGTGTTGCAGGATTCTCATTGTGGGAATGTCTGGTGTTAAGAAAACTGTTTAGCAGTGGGGTCAGTTCCCTTTCTTTGTCCCTGCCTGGTCTGACACACAGGAAGCGTTTGTGAAAGTTTTTGAAGGAATGAAGCAGTTTCTGGCAAATGGAACAGCAAGAACATCACTAGCTAGCTGACAACAAACATCCAGTTCTGTGGGCATCAGCCTATTCCCAAAAGTAGTCAAGGGAAATCTTTCCTGACTCCTTACAGTGTATTTTGCTAAATTAAGAGCACCAGTTCACAGAAGTTAGAGAAGCAAACACTGATGGCCTTCATGGTTATTCCAGACAATGCTGATCTGGGGCTGTGTCCAATCTCCTGAATACCATGGTGGTGAGGACTCTTTAACTCCCTTTGCAAGACTGTAGTTCAGTCTAATACATCCTCCCTGTCAGGCTGTTTCCACCTACCAAAATCCCCAGAAGCTATTGCTCAGTTTCATCTTCCTGAAACATTCTCCCATTCTCTGGGATTCTGAATGACAGCTAGCATGGCCTCATTGCAGGCAGGTCTTGTCTTACTAACGTCATCTCTGTTTATGATTAGGTAACTCGCCACCTGGATAAGACAGAGGAGGTTTCATAGTAGTTAGGGGTCAGAAGGGACCTAAATAGATCATCTAGTCTGACCCCCCACCACTGGCCGGAGCACACGCTGGGATCACACAACCCCAGACAGGTGTTCATCCAACCTCTATTTGAATTTACCCAAGGTAGGAGCAAGGACTTCTTCGCTAGGAAGTTGGTTCCAGATCCTAGCCACCCTCACAGTGAAATAGTGCCTCCTAATCTCTAACCTGAACCTGCTGACATTGTTGACATTGTATACCTTTTGACAAGGTTGACATTGTATACCTTGACTTCCAAAAAGCTTTTGATCTGGTATCCCATGATGTTCTCACAAGAAAATTGGAGGATTATGGGCTTAACTGTGAGACAGTTAGGTGGGTAGGAAGCTGGCTGCAGGGTAGGACCCAAAGAGTTCTAATGAATGGATTTGTGTCATCTTGGTGAGAAGTGGCCAGTGGTGTCCTTCAGGTGTCGGTGCTTGGCCCAGTGGTATTCAACATCTTCATCAACAATTTGGATGTGGGGGTAAAGAGCTCACTGGCCAAGTTTGCAGATGACATCAAGTTATGGGGAAGTGTGGTCACGCTTGAAGATAGGCTGCAGATACAGGCGGACCTAGACAGGCTGGCAAGTTAGGTGGATCGGAACCAGACATGGGCGACTGGTGTTGCCTTAGTCAGGGGGGGCACGTGCCCCCCAAGCACCCAGTCAACAACCAGGGGGGGTCCCCCCATGGCCAAGCTCTTCGACCCCCCAGGGCAAAAATTACCAACTGGTGAGTGGCCGCACTCCTCTTGAAAGCGGCCGCAGCACTCCTGGAAGTGGCCGCGGGGCTTCCGGAAGTGGCCGCAGCCTACATCCAGCGCTTGCAGTCCCCGGCTGGAGCTTGCAGGGTGTGCACTGTTGCTCCCGCCTGTCTTCCCTACCTATCGCTTGAGTGGGGAGTGCGGCCTGATGGGGTGCACTGGTGCTCTCAGGGGTGCATGTGCACCCCTGTGCACCCCCTACGCATTGCTACTGAAACCAGATGAAGTTCAACATTGAGAAATGTAAAGTGCTCCACCTGGGGACAAAAAATTCCCTGCACACCTACAGGCTTGGCAACACCAATCTGACCAACACTACTAGTGAAAGGGAACTGGGGGTTATAACAGACCACAGTATGAACGTAAGCCGGCAGTACAATGCCGTAGCCAGCAGGGCTAATAATACCCTGGCATGTATCAAATCAATCAATGCATCTCTAGCAAAACCAAGGAAGTTATTCTTCCACTCTACATGGAACTGGTGAGACCACAGCTGGAGTACTGTGTCCAGTTCTGGGTGCTGCACTTTAACAAGGATGCGGTAAAGATTGAGAGAGTCCAGAGAAGGGCCACCCATATGATCAGCAAGCCATACAACGAAAGGCTGAGGGACCTGGGACTCTTCAGCCTGAAAAAGAGAAGGCTGAGAGGAGACTTGGTAGCAGCTTTCCATGTCATCAGGGGTATACATCAAGGGCTTGGTGAACAACTGATCACCAGGGCGCCCTTGGGGAAAACTAGGAGTAATGTTCACAAACTCCTTGAAGACCGTTTCAGGCTCAACATTAGGAAAAACTTCTTCACACCCAGGGTGTCCAGACTGGAATAACCTCCCTCCTGAGGTGGTGCAATTGCCTACCCTGGAAATCTTCAAGAGGAGACTGGATGGTCACATTGCTGGGGTCACCTGACCCCAGCTGTCTTTCCTGCTTGGTGCAGGGTGCTGGACGCGATGATTTTCCAAGGTCCCTTCCAGCCCTGCAGTCTATGAATCTCACATGCACCCTTTTCAGTATTTCACAATACTTTTCTCTTTCCACTTCCAAGCTTTCTGTATAAAACTTCATCCATTTCAGAGGTCAAGAGTTTATTTGGGAAAACATTTGTTTTAAATCCAGTTTTCCAGGAAATGGTTTGCTAAATTTATCTCTCTTGCTTTTCCCCTCTACCTGCCCACACTGTAAGGCATAATTATGTGGCTGCAACTGCTTCTTGTAGCCTTACAATCAATCCTATTTTGAGACAAACTACATGTGGATGCCACATTCTTTCTGCATATGTTATAGCACCCAAGTGGTAGCCCTTCCATCCAACCCTCTACTTTGTCAGCTGCGATCATAGGGTGGCTTTCAGATGGCCAAACGGGATGCCAAAAGTTGTTTTGCCTGATCCTCCTGTATTGAAAGTAATCCAGGTCTCCAAGTCAGAGACCCAAAACAGAGCTAGCATAATTTTGAAAAATCAGAGGCTGAGGGATTCTTTCCTGCCTTTCACAGGCCCACATGAGCATGCTGGAAAAAATGTTATCTTTATGTGCAAAAATTATTAGTTGCTTCCACATTCCAGCTTGACTCAAATGATTGTCATTCAAGAGTGAAAATGTAAATGTCTAAGTGCAGGATAGTTTGAGAGAGGACTCAGAACAGGTGCAAAAATGTACTGACTGGTGGAGTTTTGCTTGAGGAAGCTCTTAAGGCTGCATGCGTCTTGCATATCTGATGGATGCTGAGAAATCCCACAGGAACTTCGAAAGGAGAGAGCAGCAGCCTGCATAATCTCTCTCCAGCTGCATACTGGCTGTACAAGACCAACAAGAGCCCTCACACCCTGTCTCACAAGCTGCTCTGAGGCCCTGTGTCTCAGCTGCCTGTGGAGGGTTTGGGATTGAGAATATGGTCGGGGGTAGAAAGGTAAGAAAGATTTATTGATTTAACAAAAACACAACTACGCGTAGTGACAAAATAAACAATGACAGACAAAAGCAATTTGCATCGGCAACTTGCAACCCTCCACTGAAGTTCCATTCAGAGTTGTGGCAGGCGAGTTAAGGGGCTCCCTGGACGTCAGCTAGGGTAGCCTTTGGGGTCCACTCGCAAGCCCGGGACAGGCAAGATAGATAGTCCGGGCTAAGGCCGCACGAGAATGCCTGGTAGAACAGACGGGCACAGTAACAAAACAAACAATGACAGACAAAAGCAACTTGCGTTGGCAACTGATCGGCAGTCTCCTCTGATGCCTGATACACAGCAAGCTTCTGTTTCCACAAAGTTCAGTGAAGTCAGGTGTCCCTGAACAGCACTGTCCGAAGGGTACTGGGAAGGACTCTGGAATGCAGTTTTTGGGCTCCTCGAGGTCCACGGGCCCACTGATCTAGGCAACAGCTAACTAATCCTTTTCACAGAGCTGTATCTTCCTTCTGAATGGTTTCTAGATATTCTAGCTAATTTATAGCTTCTGAATGATACTGATAATGAACGACTACTCAGATTTCTTTTACTTCAATTGTCCTTAGACTGACCAATTAGCAGTACAAGCCTTGCATTCCTTTGAAAAAGTAATTTTAACTATGCTGCAGGGCCTTACTACTTCAAGGCTTTGCTAAATTTACTAGGCCTTACTTTATACAAGGCTTCACTACATCTTAAACTTTAATTAGGCTTTTAGGAACAACTTATAGGTTAATATCTAAACAAATACAGAAAAACACTTGATATATTCTTCATAGAGCCTTCAGCAAGCACCTTTATCACACAGGTACACTTTTCAGCTGTCACAGCCCTGTTAACAGTCCCTCAACAACTAGGTAGATACTGGTTCCTTTTAGTGGAAATGGGAAAAAAGATGATTGATTTGCAGTGAATTTAGAAAGAGCTCATATGTGTTTTCAGCTTTGCTGCCTGAAATTTAAACTCACGCATTTAAAGAAATCTGATAGAGCTTGCAGTTCCGTTTAGAGAATTTTCTGCCATCACTTTGAAAATTAGAGGGACCCATAATAGCTTTTAGTAATAATCTAGGTACGCATAGAAAAGGTGTGATACAGCTAAGCACCCTTGCCATGGTGGCCCAGGTGGGTGAGATGGAGCTATGAGCAAGTGGGGAGTGGCATCCGGGAGCAGGATGGGTGGGCAGAAATGGGATCACGAGGCAGTTACAGTGTGGGGCTGGGGCCTGGGGCAGTTGTGATCTGCTCCCTTCAACCCTTTGATAAGCACCAGTTCTGTGGGCAGGGGTTGACTGCTGGCTGTGGAAGCAGCACCCATCGCAAAGATGTATGGAGAGTGGATCATGGTTCTGCCTTGGGCATCTGCTCTGTGCTGTCCCTGCTCATCATGCTTCTGGATCCTCCTGGCCAGACGTGCCTTGCCCATGGGTGTCCCAGGCAGGTCTCCATGGAGACACCCACACACCTATTTTGTCCCATACCCCCAGTGGTAGGTGCAGGGCAGATGGGACAGGGTGCCCAGGCAGTGCGGCCAGGTCTAGCAGAGGCAGACTGGCAGTGGCATCCAGGCAGAGTAAGTCACCACTGGTGGGGCTGCCAGGAAGCCGAGTCCAGTCACTGCACTACCCTGGCTCTGCCATGCACCCAGGGGCACTGGGACCAACCACATTTGCCACGACCTGGGCTGCCCTGTGCCTGGGCTGGACAGGGCCAAGGGACCCACCATGGGCTGGATAGAATCCCTAGGGATGGATTTGGCTTATGGGCCAGGCCATATTTTGCCTATCCCTGGTCTATAAGGTACCACACTGATCTGTTTTCTGCCTAAAGGGAGGCAGGAGAGAACTGTCATTATGGAATGACAGAAAGATGGAGCTTGTTAGGTTGTGATAAAAATAGGTGATGAAGAAAAACCTAAACCAATGCTGTTTTGGAAACCAAGTGGGAGAAAGAAAAAAGGCCCAAAGAGACATGTAAGAGGACAATAGAGAGAAATGACAGGATTTGGAACAGGATAGTCAGAGTTAGAGAAAAAAGGAAACTGGCAGAAGAATGAAGACCCTTTCATGCAGGTTTCATACAGCACATGGCATGGAAGATACAAAAAAATCCAGCTTTAAATACATGATCATTTACCACTGTTTCACAGAATGGATGTTGCTCACTTGTTATTTAATGTGTGGTTCCAGATCTTTTCAGCACACTATTCCAAACTTATTCAGAAGATAGAATCATTAGTTTCCTTATGGGCTCCTCAGTG